TTTGTCTTAGGATATCATTCTTTTTTATGGCTGAAGAGTATTCTAAGGCCAGGCGCGATGGCTCACACCTGTATCCTAGCTCTCTGGGAGGCCAAGGCGGGCGGATTGCTCCAGGTCAGGAGTTTGAAGCAGCAAGAGCGAGACCTCGTTCCTACTAAAATAGAAATTAATTGCCAACTAAAAATATGTAGAAAAATTAGCTGGGCATGATGACACATGCCTGTAGTCCCAGCTACTCGGGAGGCTGAGGCAGGAAGATCACTTGAGCCCAGGAGTTTGAGGTTGCTGTGAGCTAGGCTGACGCCACGGCACTGTAGCCTGGGCAACAGAGTGAGACTCTGTCTCAAAAAAAAAAAAAAAAAAGACTGCCAAAACAGCCTCTTTATTTATTTATTTTTTTTATTTCGGCATATTTTGGGGGTACAGATTTTAAGGTTTCAATAAATGCCCATTTCCCCCTCCCCCCCACAAGTCTGAGTCTCCATCATGACCATCCCCAGATGGTGCACATCTCACTCATTATATATGTATATACCCACCTCCCTCCCCCTCCTCCTGCCCAATACCCTATTACTGTAGTACCTATGTGACCACTTAGGTGCTGTTCAGTTAATACCAATTTACTGGTGAGTATATGTGGTGCTTGTTTTTCCATTCTTGGGAAACTTCACTTAATAGTATGGGTTCCAGCTCTAACCAGGAAAATATAAGATGTGCTATGTCACCATTGTTTCTTAGAGCTGAATAGTACTCCATGGTATACATATACCACATTTTATTAATCCATTCTTGGATTGATGGGCACTTGGGCTGTTTCCACAGCCTTGCAATTATGAATTGTGCTGCTATAAACATTCAAGTGCAGGTGTCTTTTTTGTAGAGTGTCATTGGATCTTTTGGTTAGATGCCCAGAAATGGGATTGCTGGATCAAATGGTAGATTCACTTGTATTGCTTTAAGGTATCTCCATATTGCTTTCCACAGAGGTTGAACTAATTGCAGTCCCACCATCAGTGTAGGAGTATAAAATTTTTTTATTTCCATCTTGATTTCTTCATTTATGAAGTAATCATTTAGTAGGAGGTTGTTTAATTTCCACGTGTTTGTGTAGAAATGTGAGTTTCTGTTAGGGTTGATTTCTACTTTTATTCCACTGTGATCTGAGAAGGTACATGGTATGATTTCTATTTTTTTAAATTCTTGAGATTTACTTTGTGTCCTAGGATATGGTCAATCAAGACAAGAGAATGTCCCGTGAGCTGATGAGAAGAACGTATATTCAGTGGATTTGGGGTAGAATGACCTGTAGATGTCTGTCAGACCCAGTTGTTCCAAGGTTTTGTTTAAGTCCATTATTTCTTTATTAATTTTCTGTTTGGAGGATCTGTCTTGTGCCATCAGTGGGTGTTGAAATCTCCGGCGATTATGGAGTTGCTATTAATCCATTTGCTTAGATCCAGTAAGGTTTGCTTTATGAAACTGGGTGCACCTAAGTTGGGTGCATATATATTTAAAATTGTTATCTCTTCTTGTTGGACTGTGCCCTTCACCATTATATAATGACCTTCTTTGTCTTTCACTACTTTTGTTGGTTTAAAAACTAATCGTTGACATAGAACTGCCACGCCAGCCTTCTTTGGCTTCCACTTGCCTAGAATACTGATCTCTACCCTTTTACTTTTAGTCTATATGCATCCTTGCAGGTTAGATGTGTTTCCTGAAGACAGCATATACTTGGCCTGTATTTTCTTATCCATTCAGCCAGCCTATGTCTCTTGAATGGAGAGTTTAAGCCATTCACATTTATTGAGAGAACTGATAGGTAAGGTAGATTACTGTTCATTCTGTTGGGTTGGATGTGTTGCTTTGATTTCTCTCTTGAGCCATTGTATTATCTGGCCTTTAATCTTTGGTTTTGGTTGTTTTTATATTCGTGAGTTTTTATTATGGTGTTCCGTGCATAACACTGTTTTGAGTACTTCTTGTAGGGCTGGTCTTGTCTTGGTGAATTCTCTGAGACTTTGCTTTTCTAAGAATGTCTTTATTTCTCCTTCATATATGAAGCTTAGTTTTTCAGGGAATAAGATTCTAGGGTGGGCATTGTTTTGTTTCAGAAGAGTGAGACTGGGGCCCCAGTCTCTCCTTGCTTGTAAAGTCTCATTAGAGAAGTCTGGTGTTATTCAAATTGGCTTTCCCTTGTATGTCACTTGCTTCTTTCGTCTTATAGCTCTTAGAAGGGCCTCTTTAGTTGATATTTTGGTCAGTCTGATGACTGCATGTCGTGACGTCTTCCTGTTTGCATTGAATCTCCCAGGGTCCTCTGAGCTTCTTGAACTTGTATATCGAGATTTTGAGCAAGGCCTGGGAAATTTTCCTCCATTATATCTTCCAATAGCTTGTCCAACCCTTGGGTGTTGTCCTCTTCCCTTCTGGTAACCTATGACCCTCACATTAGGTTTCTTCACATAATCCCACAGCTCTTGTAGGCTTTGCTCTTTTCTCTGTTTCTCTGCTCTATCTCTGTGATGGTTTTATTTAGTTGGAGTGTTATTCTTCAATCCTCTGAATTCTTTCTTCTGTTTGATCTACCCTGTTCTTGAGACTTTCCACTGTATTTTGTAGTTCCCTGAATTGATTTTTCATTTCCAGGAGTTCAGTTAAACTTTTCTTCATTGTGTCTATTCTTTAGTGAACTTTGTTCTAGTCTAGGCTTCCTGGAGGCTTTTGTGGTTCTTTGTGTTGGTTATTGAGTTGTTGTTGCAGCTCGGTGAGTTCTTATGATCCACATACGAGATTCCTCTTCTGTCATTTTGGTTGCCTGATTTGGTTGGTGTCCGTTTCTGGGGCTGGTGTCTCTCTTGGGGGTGTGTTTCCGTTTGGTTCTTCATATTTCCTGATTCCTTCGCTGATTTTTCCCATGTCAATCAGTTGTTGTTCTTTCCTTTAGGTTTTTGTTTGGGTATTCACACGCCTTGTTTAGTTTCTGAGCCGTTAGGTGTGTCTGTTGGTGAGATTCGACCACTCCCCTGTATAATGAGTCAGTGGGTGCCGTGAAAAGGCTGTGCAGGATGCCGTCCCTGTCAGTAGGTGGCGCTTGCTTGAAGGAAGAGGCTATGCTGTTGATTTTGTGTCCTGTTATCAGCTCTTGTTCTGGGCGGAGCTGGGTTGGGTAAGCCTGCTCTCAGGCACCACCAATGCCGTTAGCAGGGGTCAAAGTTCTGTTCTCTGCTTCCAGGAAAAGCTGTCAGGGCAGGGCTGGAATGGTCCGGCTCAGCCAGAAAGTCTGCTTGTGGGGTGGGCTGTCTGAGACCCGCAGTCTGGAGCGGGCCTCGCTTCTTTCCACCCTCCCCAACTCCGCAGCTACACCTGGGCCCCTGCCAGCAGGCCAGACCACACGTCATCAGGCCTCCCTGGATTTTGATGCTGGCAGGGAGGTTCCCTGGGCAGAAACGCTGCCTGGGCTGGGCGCATGGCCTCCATTTGGGGGGAGGGTTGTCCCTCTAGGACGCTGATCCGCCCCTGGAGGCACACACACCTCATTAGCTGTTCACGTATAACCTTTCTGTGCCCGGGCAATGCTAGCCCTGGGTGCAGGGGACTGGTCTGCAGGTCCGACCTCTGGGTCCCAGAGTTCAAACTGTATCCCCACCAGGGAGAGAGTTCCGGTCCCAATTCACCCACAGGAGCCCAAGCTGTGTCTGAGTCTCTCAGCCTCTAGTCGGCACCGTTCTCCTGGGAACACGGTGCCAGCAGCACCTGGAGGGCGGCGGGTAGGAGCTCACAGTCTGAGTTCCCCTGAGTCAAGCTGTAGGTCCCAAATGGATGGTCCCGTTCCCTGGAGGTGCCTCTGGCTGGTGGCTGTATTGTCTCTCTGGGCAGCCGCAGGTAGGGTCGGCGGAGGGAGGAGGAGGCAATATGGCACCTGCCGCGCGGCTCGGTCTGTGCACACGGAGGTGCCCCGATTTGGGAGTCTGGTGCCACGTCTGCTACAGGCTCACCCTAGCTGGCTGTGGCCGTCTCTGGGCTGGTGTCCGCAGGTCTCTCCACCCTTTGGGAGCCCACCAGCAGTCCCGAATGCAGGGGGAGGAAAGGTGATTTATCCACCTACCCTTCCTTGTGGTCTCCGGGCTGCTCCGGCGGTCTCAGCTCCAGTCTCCTCCGCAACCTCCTCCCGTGGAGTCTCCTGGGGTCTCAGGTACCCTCCTTCCGGCCCTCGTCTGCAGTATGCTTGCCTTCTTGCTTCTTTTTCTAATTTCTGCTAAAATCTGTCTTTTCTGCAAGACACTCTTTCTGGCGGTGTTTCTCGTCCGCCATCTTGATCCTCCTGTTTTTTTTTTTTTTGAGACAGAGTCTCCCTTTGTTGCCCAGGCTAGAGTGAGTGCCATGGCATCAGCCTAGCTCACAGCTACCTCAAACTCCTGGGTTAAGCCATCCTGCTGCCTCAGCCTCCCGAGTAGCTGGACTACAGGCATGCGCCACCATGCCCGGATAATTTTTCTATATATATTAGTGGCCATTATTTATTTCTATTTATAGTAGAGAAGGTCTCGCTCTTGCTCAGGCTGGTTTTGAACTCCTGACCTCGAGCAATCCGCCCGCCTCGGCCTCCCAGAGTGCTAGAATTACAGGCGTGAGCCACCGCGCCCGGCCTATAATGTGTTTTTGTGATGTTTCTTTTTCTCACCCTTTATTAGTTGCCTCAAATGAATTCTTTTTATTATTATTGTTATTTCAGAGTGTTATGGGGGTACAAACACTTTGGTTATATAAATTGTCTTTGCACTACCTGAGTCAGGACTACAAGTGTGCCCATCCCCCAGACAGTGCACACTGCATCTGTTAGGTGTGAATTTACCCATTCAAATCAGTTCTTGATAGCATGGTGGCTTCGAGATTCACGCTCCTCAAAAGTTTCTCTTGGCTATCATTTTAGGGGAAAAAACAAATTCAGTACCCTAAACCAAAATAAAAGGACAACATGGAAAATCCCTTCAAATAGGCAGCCAAGTTTGTAGAATGAAAGGGTCACAGGGAGAAGGAAGTAGGGTCAGATAGCCTAGCCTGGTCACAAGGTTTGAACATAGCTGGGACCTAGATGTAGAGGAAGCAAACTGGTTTCAGGAAGCAAACTGGTTTGGGGAAGCAAAAAATCAAAAGGCAGTCCTCTTTCTACCCCTCCATATGTGCAATTCTAGACACACTGGGTGGAACTGTTCCCAACACAGCTTGAACCAGTTCACCAAACCTAAGAGCTCTCAGGGAACAAGAAATCCGAAGGCATTTGTGATGGGCAGAAGGTGAAATCTCATTAGAAACGTGTTTGCTTCTACAACCCACACCAAGCAGGATTTTGGCACTTCTGAAGAATCTCCTCCAGTACCTACAAAAAAAAAAAAAAAAGATAAAAGTCTGAAGAGGAAGAAAATGCTTTTTGCTTTTGGTCACATGTCCTAAGAGCTAAGAGCAATCGTCTTGAGGTTTTGAAGGTTCTCAAGAGAGAAGGTCTTTATTTTACAGAAAATCTGACTACAGAAGGAGAAGTAACAGGAATATGTACCAAGAGCTTCTCACAGGTATGTGGTTTTCCTTTTTATAAAGACAAGATCTCGTTCTGTCTCCCAAGCTAGAGTGCAGTGACATGATCATAGATCACTGTAACTTCAAACTCTTGGGCTCAGGCAATCCTCCTGTCTCAGCTTTTCCAGTAGCTAGGATTGCAAGCATGTGCCACCATGCCTGGCTAATTTTTAAAATTTATTTTATATTTTGTAGAGATGGTGTTTTACTGTGTTGCCCAGGCTGGTCTTGAACTCCTGGCCTTAAGTGATCCTCCCACCTTGGCCTCCCAAAGGGCTGGGATTACAGGCATGAGCCACCATTCCCAGCTCATTTTCCTTGACTCTTGATTGCATCCCAGCAATGTACAGGGAATTAGGGAAAGAAGTCATTGGATTTCCAGAATGGTACCAAGAAATAGATAGCATTGCTAGAGATTGGGGGGGATCAAGAAAATATTTTTTCTCTTTGATGTAGCTGTGGGGAGGGAGCTCTGTGGCCAATGAGGGTACAGGAGCAGGTTCCAGGAACTGAAAGAAGAGACGAGTGGCAGCATGCAGATGAGACATACTGCTTATTGTTGGGGTGATGCTGCATGCAGTGAGAATATGGCAAGTGCTTATATATGTCTCAGAACAATAGTGGCAATGTGCCAAGCAAAAGTGTGATCACATGGGTTCACACAGGAGATAACACCTTGGTTACGTAAGTGTGCTGACTCATGCCTCACCGGAAGACTAGCTTGCTGGAGGGGGACAGGAAAAAACACTGTGGCAGCCATCTTAGTTTGCCCTAAGAAACCTATTGCCCATACAGATGCATTTTCCCTTATAGTAACTCACTTCATAAATTCCACCATAGACAATGGTGTTACCTGGAGGTGGACTAGTATTTATTTTCATATTACACAACAAGCCCCTGCTCCCTGCTGTTTACACCTTTCCACTCATACCCAATGATTTAAGCAGCTCTTAAGAGTTTGGGATCCCCAAATACGTCCTAAGATAGGTGCTGCTGTAACTACTATTCAGAATCTGCTGTGCAAATTATTACTGTGCTTTAAAATGTACCTCCATGCTCAGTATAATACACTCTCTAAGATAACATATGGAAGTTTCGAGTTATTTTTATTTTGAACACTGCAGTGGGTTTTGATTGGGTTTCACCATACCCCAGAGATGCCAGGAGCAAGCTTTCCAGTGAGACTCTTAGAGTGCTTTTTCACAGATGGTGTAAGGCATTCTGTGAACGAGTGTCACACTCCTCATGAATGTGAGTCATGAGTTGAGTATGAGTCATCAAGTCCTGTTTTTCAAAAACCCTCACCAGGCCTCCTGTCCACAATTCCTTAGTCTCTGCCCCTTTATAACAAGTTCTGGAATGCCTTTGAAGGATACTGGTCAACGCAATGGGTCATCAGCCTTGGAAAAGGAACTCAGAAGTTTTCCTGAGGCAGGATGACCCTTGTGAATGTGACAAGGTTAGGCTTCTGTTCTCAGACTCAAGCTTATCTCCTACTGGAAAATTATTTGATTTGGCCTCTTAGGGATCTGTGCACTCTGTATTACGTAGGTCCCAGAGGCCAGAGGTTGTTGGAGGTAACAGTGTTCAGGAGAAAATTTACATTGCTAAGCAGGTGGGTTAAGGTGTGTATGTGTGTGTGACCCTCTGCCTAAGCCGTGGCGACCTTGGTAGCGTTATGAGCTGATTGCTTTCTGTAGTGATTCATGGGGTAGAAATTGGGGCTAGTTACTTCTTCAGCGATGATTTGGTGCAGGAGCAAACTAAGGAAGAGGCCGTGGGAATTGTTAGAAATCAAGGCCAAACTTAGAGAGGTTATGCCAGTTGTTTGCGGAGTGTGGTCCCTGGAACAAGTAGCATCAACATCACCTGAGAACTTGATGGAAATTCAGATTCTTGGGCTCCTCTCCAGATCAAGTGAATCTAAAACTCCTTTTAGAATACTGTGTGGGACTCTACAACTCATGGTTCAACAAGCTTTCCAGGTGTTTCTGATTCATGCTATTGTTTGAAAACTGCTGGGTTCTCAACGCTGGCTGCAAACCTGAGGCTTAAAGAGCAAATTCTGGGACAGGATGCAGGAGCCCTAGATGATTTTGCTGCTCAGGCAGGATTGAGAACCACAGGTACATTCTCTCCTTAAAGGCAGGTTACTTGGGACTATGCTGGGGTTTTGTCATGGGCCTTCCATCCCCTTGTCGGGATTATAGGTTGGAATTTTAGGATTACATGGAGTTTTCTGGCTCAGGGCCTGTCTCTGTGATGGAATCAAGGCCTAGCTAGAGAGTGATGCCTGTGCTTCTTGCTAGAGAGGCTAGAATCTGTCTGGCTATTAGTCCCCTCTCTGTCTTCCCTTAAAGGTCTAGACTGAAGAAGCAGTTGTCCTCTCTTTTACAGAGGCCTGGAATAAGAGCCTCTGCAGAAACAATGAATGGGGGATGGTGGTTGCCAAAATACAGCCCCTGAACCTGCTCTATTCCAAACTAGCCATCTCTAGTCCTTTTAGTTCTTTCATCATCTCCCAATTATTCCCAAGTGCATTACACACATAGCCTATGACTTTGGGCTAGGCGCTTCTTAGAAGTGAGACTAATTAATGCCTATCATCACCCTAAGTGTTAAGGGGACAGGGAGGGATGAGGGAAGGACCAATGAGGAGAGACTACCCACATTTGCCAATATATAAGATACACAAGGCAATGAAACGATCTCCATTACACAGTGAATTTTGTGTGTGCGTGGAGGGCAATCTTCGCAACTCTTTATCAGTCTTGTTTTGAAAGTGATTTAAAAGTGGTTTTCAAGGGTAAAAATTATTTCATTCAGGTAAATATTGAATTCTGAAGTGGGGGCGAGATAATGTGAACTTCTGTTTGCAGACAAACCAATCCATTATTTTACATCTTCTTCTTTTGGCTTCCTGTCATGAGGTACGTTATAGACATGGAATAATGTCCACACACATTTGAGGGAATACATATTGAACACAGGTAAATATAGTAACAGTAACTGCAGGACTATGTACTATAAATTTTGCTTACATCACCATATTTAATCCTTATAATAACCTTGTGAGATTCTAATTGCCTTTTACAGATAAGGCTGAGCTTATGTGATCTGACTTCCCCAAGGAGACATGATATCAGGCAGAACCAAGATTTGAACTTAGATATGCCTGATTTGAAGGAGCTTTTGTTCTTTTACAATCACAAGACTGGCTGTCATTTCTCTGACCCTCACAGTAATGCTGTGAGTTATGAATCCAGCCAGGCTCAAGTGAACTCTTATTGATGGGGATCATAACAACTATGCAGTAGGTACAATTACTATCCTCATTTTACAGACAAAGAAACTGAGGCTCTGAGAGGTGCAATATTTGTCCAAGGCCACAAAGTCAATAAGTGGCATAGTCAGGAGATAAACCTTGGTGGTCTGGCTCCAGATCCTATACTCTCAGCCACTATATTGTGCTGTCTCTTGAGACTGCAAGCATAATTCTAAAACCATACACTCAGTGTTGGAAAGGCCATTAGTGGACTTTTAGACCAACCTTCCAACCAATACAGGAATTCCCTCTATGCTTGCCCTCTCCCTGCTTGAACATTTTCTGTGTCAGGAGCTTGGTATCTCAAAGGCAGATCATTCTGATATGGACAATCTCTGATGGTTAAGAAGTTTATCTTTAAAGTGAGCTGGGGAAGAAAATCTACTCAGCTTGTACTTGCTGAACTTGTACTGTGTTCACCCACTCTATTTGGTATATACAAATATACCAAATGTATACAAAACATATATTTGGTATATACCAAATATATATTTGGTATATACAAAGATAAAGAAGATATGGTCCCTGTCCCTTACAGACTCTTAAGAGAGAGTTTGCATACAATGGCTACTACACATGGTAGAATGTGGTACATGCTATGATATAAATATACGGATTGCTCGAGGTCAGGAGTTCGAAACCAGCCTGAGCAAGAGCGAACCCGTCTCTACTATAAATAGGAAGAAATTAATTGGCCAAGTAATACATACAGAAAAATTAGCCGGGCATGTGGCGCATGCCTGTAGTCCCAGCTACTCGGGAGCTGAGGCAGGAGGATCGCTTGAGCCCAGGAGTTTGAGGTTGCTGTGAGCTAGGCTGACGCCATGGCACTCACTCTAGCCAGGGCAACAGAGTGAGACTCTGTCTCAAAAAAAAAAAAAAAAACCAAGTAGGGCTGGCTGGTTCTAGTCAAACTTGTGAAAGAGGCAGCTCCATTTCTCTCATCTCTAACAGGGCATTTGATGACTTAACCTA